CCACTTTGCCACATCCTTCAGCTGTTTACCGAGGCGAGAGGCTCCGGCAGCCCCGAACAAAAGGGGCCGCGGCCGCAACAACGGAGGAAACACCAAAATAGCAACAAAGCCCCAGACTAAAAAAAAAAAAAAAAAAAATGGGGAGAAGAGCGAGGCAAGAGCGAGGAACCAGCTGCTGCCAGCACAGCGGGACCGGGGGTGGGCACGGGGGGTGCCCCCCAGCCACGCTCGCAGCTCCCCGTGTCAACAGGGAGGTGGTGGCATCTTTGCCAGGGTGGCTGGTGGCACCACTTGGACCGTGGTGTGGTCCCACAGCCACCTGAGGGATGCTGATGGCCCTGGGGTACCAATTCCTGGGGAGGGGGGTACCAACGCCCCGGGGGGGCACCAGTGCCCCCACGGAGGGATAACCCAGTCCCCATCAGGGCACGGGGTGAAGGATCCAGGTGTCACCTCCAGCCAGGAGACGGGTGCCAACCCTTGATTCGAGGTGACAGGCGCTGGGATAACGGTGGCAGGATGACAGCCGAAAAAAATCCCATCCCTGCTCCCACCAGAGGCAGCTCCTGCTTCTTCAAAGGCTTCTTGGCAGCACGTTCCCCCCCCATCTTTTTCTCCCCCCCCACCCCAAACCCCTCCGGAAAGATATTATAATCCTCCTTATCTGTCGCAGCCTGGGGAGGATGCTGAGCAGACACGCATCGCCATCGGGGATGCTCCAACCGAGCCACGGCACAAATCCTGCTCCACAGCATCTCCTGAGCTCAGAGAGGAGGTCTGGACCCACATCTGTGGGGCTCAGGCACCTTGGGGTAAAGGGGGAGGAGGTGGACCTTTCCTAGAGGTGAAGCGTCACGGGATGCTGGGGGGCAAATCACCAACCTCAGGTTGATTTGGGGGGAGAGGGGCTCCCCCACCCCACACACCCCCAGGGCAGCCCCAGCTGAGTCCTGTGGGAGCAGGTCGGGGTCTTGCACCCCTTTCCTATGGGGGAGGGGCAGCACCAGGACCCCCACCACGCTAGGGGACACCCTAGCAGGGCTCATTCTCACCACAGCTGAGTCTTGGGGGACAGCAGGACCCCCAGTTCCCTAGGGTCCCCCCAGTAGGGTTTGCTCCCCCTGGTCTTGGGGGGCCAGCAGCCCCTCTAGGTCCCCAGGGGACACCCCATCAGGCCTCATTCCTTTCACAGCTGAGTCTTGGGGGGCAGCAGGACCCCCAGTTCCCTGGGGTCCCCCCAGTAGGGCTTGCTCCCCCTGGTCTTGGGGGCCATCAGGACCCTCAGTTTCCCAGCAGACACCCCAGCAGGGCTTGTTCCCATCACAGCCTGGTCTTGGGGGGCCATCAGTCCCTCTAGGTCCCCAGGGGCCACCCCAACAGGGCTCATTCCCACCACATCCTGGTCTTGGGGGGCCAGCAGGACCCCCAGCTTCCTGGGGGCCATCCCAGTAGGGCTTGATCCCCTTGGTCTTGGGGGGCCAGCAGGACCCCCAGCTTCCTGGGGGCCATCCCAGTAGGGCTTGATCCCCTTGGTCTTGGGGGCGAGCAGGACCCCCAGCTTCCTGGGGGACCCCCAGCAGGGTTTGCTCCCCCTGGTCTTGGGGGGCCAGCAGTCCCCCTAGGTCCCCAGGGGCCACCCCATCAGGGCTTGTTCCTGTCACAGCCTGGTCTTGGGGGGTGAGCAGGACCCCCAGGATAACTGGGAGAGGATGGGAACCAGTGGGCGCTGTGATGCCCTGCACTGTGTGTGTGTGGGGAGGGCACAGCACTGCCCAGGGCAGGCAGGACCCCCCCCCCTCTGCCTGGAAAAGGGGTTGTGGAGGCTCCCAAAGGAGCTGGGGAGGGGCATTGCCAAGCTGGGTCCCCTCCAGGGATGCCAGGGCCTGGCTGGAAATGGCATCCTCAGGCTGCTGGCATCTCTCTCCGCCTGCGCCCGGCGGCACACGGCCGCCTGCCACCCACCGCACCCCAACGAGCTTCCTCTTGTGTCATGGAAAATCTTCACCCCGGAGAGAGATTTGGGGCAGGAAACTCCCAGGGGAGCTGAGCCCCAGCTCCGGGGTTGAGGACCGGAGCATCCCGCGGCACTGGGCAGCAGCACGGGGTGGGTGATGCCACCGGGAGGGGACAGGAGCTCCCCCAAACCTCACCCAGCTGCCCAGTTCCCCCAGTCCCTCTCCCCAGGGCACCAGCCGGGCGCCCTTCTTCCAGCCACCGGGTGAATGGAAAACAGCTGCCTTCGTTAGCATGCATGACCTGGATTTGGAGGAATTAATTAGGGCACAATCAATTAACGCCTCTCCCTGCCCCAGACCGTCACTGCCTGTGCCCCCCACGTGCCCTTGCCAGGGATGTTAGGGTGTCCCCGGGGGTGCCAGCCACCGGGAGAAGGAGGGATATGCATGGATGATAAGGGGGACGTGGCAATCCCCATCCCGTGGGGCCACCACGGGTGATGCCGTGGCCTGTGGGGCACGTGGTGGCTCGGTGTGGCACAGCATGGCATGGAGGTCCTTCTCAGGAGCTGGTGGCACGGCCAGCACCCGGCACGGCACATTTCCTGCCCCACGGTGCCCCTCGCCTCCACCGGTGACCGCAGGCGGTGGCGGCAGAGCCGAAATAAGCCATCGAGGAGGAGGAGAGAAGCAAAAGGAGGCTATTTTTGGGGAGGGGACAGCATTAGGTGACACTGGGGACACGTCCCCCCATGGTTGTGAGGGTGGGATCCAGCCCCCGTGGCGGGGGGGGGGCTCGGGATGTTGGTTTTGGTGGCCATCACCAGTTTTCCCCACTGGAATCCAGTTTGGAGCTGCTGCCGGCGCTGGGGTTTCCTGCAGTGAACGCCACCGACCCCAACCACCCAGAACCCCCACCCTGCTTTGTGCCCCCCCCCCTCCAAGCTCTCATTTGGGTGCCAACTCTGGGCTTTCACTTGCCCGCCCCGTCTTCCAGCCACCAGCAGCTTCGTGGGGACCCAAACCTTCATGAGATCCCCTTGAACCCCCCATCCCAGCAGCGGGTATATTCACCCTCCCTCTGCAGAGATGGGGAGGGGGGGGG